TATATATTACGTATCTTGTTACGTGCTTTTACGGACCTTTACGTGTAAATTACGGACCTTTTACGTGCTGCATTTGGAGTACGTATCAGTACGTGCCAAATACGTATTTTATACGTATTTTGTACGTATTTGATACGTATTTGATGATTCTGGAAAATTCTACTTAAAATCACTTAAAACTCTGTGTATTTTTATATGTTGTGGTCCAACTTTGCTGATTGTGGCATTCTTTTTTTAATGGTAGACTGTTTGTTTTCTTATTGAACCCTCGATCTGCCTCGCCCATGTTCCGGACCCCCACTCCAGGCACCAGCAGGTGAAGGGGATTCCAAAAAGCACCAAACCTGTAAAGGGAAAGCCATTTGGTGGACCGGCCCTGTATTCCCAATGAACCCCAGTGGCAAGCGACAGTTGGCACAAACAAAGTGATGGGGAGGGTCCCTGAAGACAAAGGCACTCACCAACTGACCCGCATCGAGCGAACAATATGCAGACAGGGTCATTTTGATAACGTTGAGCTGAAACTCCAAGCAGGAAGTCCCACAAGGTGCAATGATTGCATTCTCTACATGCGTAAATTGCAATACGCTAGATCCATGCAGAGACCTGCACTCACACTAGCTTGGAGGGAAAAACAGCCCTCCAAGCATCGCTCAAACATAAGCGAGTGCATCCCCTCAAATACCGCAAACAATGGTACATGTTTGCATCATCCCACAAATCCCCCCAGGTCTTGCCGCGAAAGAATGCGACCAGCTCTTCCTGAAGGAGCTCTGCTGGGAGTGTTGGGAGGTGCGTTCTCTCAGAGCAGAACTTCTCGTGCAGGTCGGAGACTCGATCCCCAAATTTGGGCGGGTAGGTCCTCAGACGGGCAACTTGCTAGCAATGTTGGCATTTGAGCTCACTATACATACTTGGCTTATAGACATCGATACTAGACATCATGTAAAGCTGAAAAGATAAACACATTGCCTTGCAAAATCACCGTGCTATTTACATTGCAAGATATGCATGCAGAAAGGTCGACCACAGGTTCAAGTGCCCATGTGCTTTCACTTCCAGAAACTCGGGTTTGGACCCTGTGATCTTCAAGAACTTGGTACCCTGGTAGACCTTCTTGCCAGACTTGGAAACATGGGACTGGCACGGGCGAATTGCGTGATCCTTGGTCAAGGCCTCTCGCTGAGCTTTGGTAAGAACACCCAGATCCAAGCAGGATATAGTCCGGGCATTGGAGAAGAGAATGTGGCCTTTGGGGGTCAGGGACTGGTACAATCCCATCCAAAAGGTGCATTCCCATACCTGCAGGGTCTATGACGCACCATGCAGTTTCAACAGACAGTGGTCCAACAATGCAACTGCAGATGTGAAAACTAGAACAGTAAAAAACCCTCACCTTTGGGAAGGAGCGCCAAAGTTCCCTGATGCGTGGGTGCCATGACACCATGCTCCCCCTCGGCTGCTCCAGCACCCAAGTACCTCCCATGGCAGCCACGGCATAGATGAGGAGACATGTCCTCAGCCGCGCTAGCAACGAGGCAGCTGGTGGTCTGAGGAGGAATGGTCTGTGGAAACCAGCACCACCGAAGAACACTCACCAGGGGCTTTGGGGTGGACCTTGGCTGGTACGCTAGAATATATCGCATTGTGTCGGGTAAAGACGCTGCTGAACCTGCCAAAACGCATATCCTTCAGTGATCAACATTGTAATTGTAATTAACAGTTACGCTAGTGGCTGGGCAATACAATAGTTTTTGCAGAACAGGGGCCAAACTCACGTTTGATTCATTGAGGGCTTCGAGAAATCCGGCAGCCCATCTACCCCAAACAGTATTTATACCTGTTGGGCATCGCATGCCCATAGGGTACAATATATTGAGAGAATCGATGTCCAAAGCAGGTGGTGAATCCTGCTGTGTGAAAACAGGTTAAAGGCCGCAGGAGCCATGCAAACTAGATAAGGATTGCCTGGGTGATTAGGAGGACTCCACCAAACATGCAATGTCCAGTACAGGACTTTACCCCCTGTTCCCTACGCACACCGATCAATGCACTGCACACTGCAGGTCTTGGGAAACTGAATTTGAAACAAGGGTCCGACTGCACAACATGTTTCCCAGTTGCACACTGGGAAAATGATCATTTCCCAGAGGCATGTGGGGCAGTCTTCCATGCGTCCCGGCATCAACCATGCAGAAAGAAGAACACAAGAGACCAAACCAACATAGGAAATTGTCCATTTTGGCGTTGAGTATGCACGCCAAAGCAGTCCTTATATGCATCCAGAGTTGTGCATGAGATGGATTGCGGGGCCAACACAGACATCCAAAGCATTGCAAATTCCAAAGTGATTAAGACATGTTTTGCTTACAAGCAAGGTTTCAAAAAACCTGCATCCGTGGTTAGATCCCAGCGGTTTTGTTCACCAGGCCCCATAGTCTCTCCATAGAGAATGTCCATAGATGCCACTCCACGACCATTTGCTCTCATATAAGCGCTAATCCACCCAAAGCCTGCAAAGACCTCCACGAATCCATAGGCCTGCGCCAGTACGCATTTGGATTCATGCATATTCATGCCCATGGTATTTCTTACACTGATCATGGACAACACAAACGGCTCACAAACCCTGCCGACACAAGAACTTGGGAACATGTGTTCAACTTGTCGTAGTGTCTACTTGATGCGGGGCTGGCCTCAGTGAAGACCTGGAACCCCTCAATCATGGAGAGCAAGATCACCAGAGACATCAGGATCTGCACGGGGCCAAAGGTTTTTGTTTGCAAGTTTCTGTGAGGTTTTCAATGTTTTTGACATCATGCGAATGGAACAGCTCGCCTTAGGTGCCTGCAGCACATGCAACCGTTTGATCACCAAATCCAATTTGGCGTTTGGGTCCATGGAGCTAATGTGGCTTTGGCCGTGTCTACCCTCCCTGAAAAAGGCTGCGATGCACGGCCGGCCCAGGAGAAGATGGTGAGAGCAAGCTCATGAGTGCAAAGCCGGTTTGCCGCGTAACTCTGGCACAGCAAATGTGAAGCAAAATCAGCAAATCAAGCTGTGAATCCAACTATGTTCATTTAGTTTCTCTCGAAAGCAGTCAATTCCATTTCTGAATTTCTGAATTTATCGACTGCATGATCATGCACTAGCATGTACCATACACTTGGAAATTGAAATGTACTGAACTCTCTTGGACCCATGCTCCTCAAAACATGTTCGGCACACCGTGATTCAATCTTGGTTTCCAAGCTGCGCCTTGCACCATGAGCGACCTGAGCAGCGCTTGGGCATTGGCCCAATTCCCAAACCGGGGGACTGTGGGTGAAGCCAGGATAAATACCAGTAGCTGGTAACTCTTTGCAATGCCTGAACACCGGCAACTCGTTGCAATGCTTTTTGCAGTCCCCGGTGAGATGTAGATCAATCAACCAACAGCAATAATGACTAGACAGGCCCAGTTTGGTTGGATGTTGAACACGCCCATGAGACACATTTTGTTGACTCTCTTCGAACCCCATCCTCCATTGAAACCGCTCCGAGCGAATGGTCGAGCTATGGCACTTCCAAAACTATAATGATTGGCACTGGGGAAACCTGAAAGGAACAAAGTGCATGCATATATAGTGTGTAGTCTTTTTGGATCCTTTGACTATCTTTGACTGGTTTGTAAAGAATTGTGGGAAGTCAGAGATGTTAAACAAAATCTCCCATGATCTCCCCAGTGCAGGCAGACCCCAACCAAGTGCGCAGCTACGCTAACAAACACTCCAGAGCTTCACATGACAGATCAATAGCTGCATGTCCCTAGGCTGTTGGAAGCACAACCTGAAGACCAGGACCCTGACTTGTAGGACGATTGTTCGTATTGCAAATAAATAAACCGTAGGCCACGCAATGCCGTCTAACATTGGAAAAGGATGGAAAAGGCATCCTGGCTGGCTTCACTTCATGGTTGCAGCTAGTTGCCGCTAAAGGCCAAAGACTTCAGCTGCACTAAGTACTGGGAAGCTGCCTGTTTCGACAGAATTTCAGCATTCTCAGCAGTCAGCTCCTTGGTCTTCCAAGCATTGCTGCAAAACGTGTAGAAATAATCCTCAGGGTTGCATGCACACGTGGAACATCGTGGAACCTTGGATATTCAAGGATCCCCTTTTCCATATAGCATATAATGCAACCAGCCATAAACACGCACACACACACACACACTAATTTTGAAGAGGATTCCGCAACTGGTTCCTCAAGCCCCAAACTCTGGACCAAAACAACCCCTGATGGAAATCAGTCCTCATGGGCTGAGTATTTCTCGAGGTTTGGTTTGATCATCTCATTGAAGCTTGAGCGGATCGCATCCCACTTGAGCTGGCCACTGGCTGTGTTGGGCCGGCGCCGCTTTGCAAAGCAGGTATAGGTTGCACCACCATTCTCCTTTCCTTCCTTGGGCCGTTTGCCACGAAAGAGGACCTCTGGGGAATCGGCTTCCTCATCTCCACTCTTCTTTGCAAGGGACTTGCTTTGCGCTTTGGCTTGGCTGTCTCCTTGGAACCCGCTGGCTCAATCTTCATTCCCTCCTCCATGCCAACCTGCTCTGGGGCCACCGGCGTTGCTGCTGGATCACGACCACCCGCACTTGGCACCAAGGGAGGCTCGCCATCGTGAGCGGAAGCAGCAGCAATCTCCTCCACGCCCGCAGACTCAGCCCCTTCTTTTGCCTCAGCCTCCTTGCCTTCAGGAGCCTCTTCCTCATCACCATCACCGTGAGCTTTCTCAGGCTCATCCTCGCCAGCATCCTTGGCATGACTCGCGCGCTTGCCTCTGGCTTTGGCCTTTGCTTTTCCCTTTGCCTTGGCCTTCGCTTTTCCTTTGGCCTTGGCCTTCGCTTTTCCTTTGGCCTTGGCCTTTGGACCGGCCTCTCCCTTGGACTCTGCTTCTTCCTCAGCCCCCTTCTTCATTTTGATTTGGGATCTGCGCAAAGCCTAGGTTGAGTGAAGTTGATGGCAGCCACTCGCACATTTCAGCTTAGGTCAACCACCCCTTCAGAAAAAGCACTATAGAAAAACAGACTAAACAAGCCACAGAGCAGGTGGATGCTCTTGTGTCTCCAAAATCTGTTCATCAGGGACCTCGTACCTGAACCTGTGAGCAGCTACCTCCATGGTCACTTCATCGACCAAAAGTGTATTCATGTTGTCAGGGACATCTCCATAGGGCAGCGAATCAGGCACTTCCACTAGATCGCCATGCAAAGCAGATGATTTGCGCTGAAAAGCGGGAGCAGCGGAAGTGTTGTTCAATTCCTGGCTTGCCTTCCTTACTTTCAAGGTCGGCCAGCCATGCAAGCATAGCATATCCCAGAAGAAGGAACATTGTTTTCAAAGTCCCTTCAGGTAACATGGGGCCAAGGCCAAAAAAACACTTTGCAGAAAAAGCCAAGAGTCCACGAAGTGCTGGCTTTCTTCATCTTCAAAAGCTCTGCTTGAAGTCCCTTCAGCATCAACTGGCATTCAGCCGGGTTCAAATCCGCAAAATCATCACTAGTGTCAAGAGTGCGTGCCTTGTCTTCCGCTGAGGGCTCCTGGCCAACAACCTCACCTCGGACTTCTGTGTCCAACTTTGGCTCCGACTCCTTTGCCCCAAAAAGATCCTTGGCGACATCGTCAAGGCCAGAGGATTTCGCCCCATTCTCTCCATGGAGTGCTTTGGAATCTGACTCTTCAACTGGTGCCTGGCTGTCCTCCACAGCAGCGAGAGAAGCATGAACAGGCTGAGGAGTTTCCTCCAGCAAGTCGATGACTTCTCCATCAAGATTGGCGCCGCCGTCATTGGCCTGGTCCTCAAGAGGCGCAGCTTCATCGGCTTCATCCTCATCATCTGCTGTAGCCAGCACAGCCTCATCATCATCAGCCTCTTGAGTTTGTTCTTGCCAAAGCTCCTGCAAATGATAGAGCAATCAATCCCTGAGTTCCGAGTTAGCAATGCAGTTCTTAAGCTGATCCAAATAAGTTCAAATGAAATATAAGACTTTGGACATCTTTGGACTCTTTAGATCTCTTCACAGCACCCCTCCTGAAGTGCAGGGTTGATTTCAGCAAGAAGGTGCTTGGATGCAGTGTTGCGAGGGACCTGCTGCCTTCTGAGCTTTTGCTTGATCAAAGCAGTGAAGTTCCGCATCATCCAAGCATCTTTCTTGAGGTCCAGCCCCTTGGGCACATGCCCCTGAATCCGGTGATATAGTTTGCAGAGCCTCAGCCCGTGCAGTGATTGGTTTAGGTTTGCATGTTTTAACGGCATGGGGCCTTCAAATCCAACATCCAAATCCACAATAAAACAAAAGAGTGGAAGTTGGTCCAGACAAGACGCTGAGCAACCAAAGCTGGAATTGGAGCCATCTTCAGGCAGCCTTCGCCATCGCGCAACTCTTGCACCAAAGGCACAAGCACGTCCAGGTTGCCTTCGGCACACTTCACTGAGGCAGACATCTCAGAC